AAGCTAGGTCCGGCAAAGGAACTAGAACGCTACGTCCATGACTAGCTCGGGCCGTCTCCGGAGCCCCGTAACAATGAGACACTTACGAGCATACGGTCCGGAGCACCTCGTTAGTAAACATTGATCGTAAAATAGCGTAAATGTTGGATATTCTGCTACAATTATGAAAATCTAAGAGATTCAAAACATTTACAATTAGAGTCGTAGTTTATTATCCACCGATCAATGCGGTGATAATCACAATGTTAGATTCCGCAGATGCCACGACATTGTCAAATCTAAAGTTGCTGATTACAAGTAAACAATATTAACATTTCAATGTACTTATTGCACTAACGGGGATATAAGGTTACAAGAATATCGTTGACCTAATACTATACTGGGTAAGTTTACAAAATTTGAAATCTTTATATATAAAAATTACATGTCACGTTGTGTGTCCGCAATGGATTGCTAAACTACTAAACCGATGGCAAATTTGATTTGAAAGATAGAATAGATTATATCTCAATTTATAGTCGCGATATTATTTTATTCAAGAACCTTAGCCACAGCAACGTGTGGCAGGGTCTGCTAGTTAGACTATAAAAGCGAAAACTTCCAGCCTCCGATCGATCCCCAGTCCAATTCAAACGGGGATCGAAATTACGACGGCCTGAGCCGAGGTTTGAACCCCTAGCGGTGCACTTAGACTAAAGTCGTATCCGTCAGGCGGGAGTTGGCTTTCAGACGCTCCATAAGTTCTTCCTTTGGTTTGGAGTGTTATCCGCACTCGCTCCCTATTGTCCGATGAAGCTGTAAAGGCCAGCTACGGCCAACAGCATTAGAGTAGTCCGAGAAAAAAATCGATTTTCCAAAGTTTGTAATTTCTTCCTTAAATTATATCCAGTATCGTATTAGGTGTTAGATATATCGGAGCGGGAAACAATGCGTGGCATAGGACGTCCTGTGGGTCATATCAGTGAGAGTATGTCCGTGGGACGCGTAAGGATCCGTCCGGTGGAGTTCCGTGTGGGGCGGCGTGAGTGAGAAGGTCTGTTCGTTTGGTCGCATGAGATCTGGAGAGTCCCGGGGCGGGACAAGCGTCACTACAACACATAGATGAGTGAAGCGAGGACGTAAGTACGATGCTCGACAGCGCTCCGCCGCCTCGCCTACACGATCTGTAACATAACGGTACCAAGTTGTAATTTTGTTTGATTGCTATGGTATGTTAGAGGGAGAGTCTCGGTCGCTTGTTAACTCGATCCCTCGACCTGGCACTATGGTGACAAAGGAATGCCGTGAGGTTTTTAGTGAGTAGGATACTCACAGTACCTGGAGATCCATCCGTCCCGGGGGTTGGACGGTCGGTCCAACCCCCGAGACGATCTCCATGAGGGATTTACCCTATTTAAATATAAAAAAGGTATATTTCAGGGAGCTGTGTGGAGTAAAAAATAAAATGGACGTTGCAAAAAGAAGACCCGTATGATAGTTTCTTTCTTTCTATATGGTAACCGTCATATAGGTACATATATAAAACATTACGGATAACACACTTGTGCGTTGGTACCACTTATGCTATGCTTCAGGTACACTTGAGTTATTCCAGATGGCTAAGATGACATGCTGCATTTTACTCTGTAATTTTACTGCCATACTTCAACTTTTCACATCTTACAAAACACCAAGCTTGGCTGAAGAAAAAGATGAGACAGAGGTACCCAGGCAAATGACTTTGTCCTAAGTTTACTTTGGTTTTGTTTATGGAGATGCTATGATTGCTTTTGATGCTTATATTGTTGTGCATTATAGGGACACGGAGATATTTAGGTTTACCTCGGTATTGGTGTATTGTTTTTGAAGAGTGCAGAAGTGTGTATTATGGTGACAGGGAGATAGCGGTACCTGCAGCGCGGGTGGTGGTGGTGGCGGCCGCCATCACCAGCAGAACACGGACAGCTCGCCGCCCACAGGGAGGTATACAGTGTGGTGGTGGTACCTGCAGCGCGGGTGGTGGTGGTGGCGGCCGCCATCACCAGCAGAACACGGACAGCTCGCCGCCCACAGGGAGGTATACAGTGTGGTGGTGGTACCTGCAGCGCGGGTGGTGGTGGTGGCGGCCGCCATCACCAGCAGAACACGGACAGCTCGCCGCCCACAGGGAGGTATACAGTGTGGTGGTGGTACCTGCAGCGCGGGTGGTGGTGGTGGCGGCCGCCATCACCAGCAGAACACGGACAGCTCGCCGCCCACAGGGAGGTATACAGTGTGGTGGTGGTACCTGCAGCGCGGGTGGTGGTGGTGGCGGCCGCCATCACCAGCAGAACACGGACAGCTCGCCGCCCACAGGGAGGTATACAGTGTGGTGGTGGTACCTGCAGCGCGGGTGGTGGTGGTGGCGGCCGCCATCACCAGCAGAACACGGACAGCTCGCCGCCCACAGGGAGGTATACAGTGTGGTGGTGGTACCTGCAGCGCGGGTGGTGGTGGTGGCGGCCGCCATCACCAGCAGAACACGGACAGCTCGCCGCCCACAGGGAGGTATACAGTGTGGTGGTGGTACCTGCAGCGCGGGTGGTGGTGGTGGCGGCCGCCATCACCAGCAGAACACGGACAGCTCGCCGCCCACAGGGAGGTATACAGTGTGGTGGTGGTACCTGCAGCGCGGGTGGTGGTGGTGGCGGCCGCCATCACCAGCAGAACACGGACAGCTCGCCGCCCACAGGGAGGTATACAGTGTGGTGGTGGTACCTGCAGCGCGGGTGGTGGTGGTGGCGGCCGCCATCACCAGCAGAACACGGACAGCTCGCCGCCCACAGGGAGGTATACAGTGTGGTGGTGGTACCTGCAGCGCGGGTGGTGGTGGTGGCGGCCGCCATCACCAGCAGAACACGGACAGCTCGCCGCCCACAGGGAGGTATACAGTGTGGTGGTGGTACCTGCAGCGCGGGTGGTGGTGGTGGCGGCCGCCATCACCAGCAGAACACGGACAGCTCGCCGCCCACAGGGAGGTATACAGTGTGGTGGTGGTACCTGCAGCGCGGGTGGTGGTGGTGGCGGCCGCCATCACCAGCAGAACACGGACAGCTCGCCGCCCACAGGGAGGTATACAGTGTGGTGGTGGTACCTGCAGCGCGGGTGGTGGTGGTGGCGGCCGCCATCACCAGCAGAACACGGACAGCTCGCCGCCCACAGGGAGGTATACAGTGTGGTGGTGGTACCTGCAGCGCGGGTGGTGGTGGTGGCGGCCGCCATCACCAGCAGAACACGGACAGCTCGCCGCCCACAGGGAGGTATACAGTGTGGTGGTGGTACCTGCAGCGCGGGTGGTGGTGGTGGCGGCCGCCATCACCAGCAGAACACGGACAGCTCGCCGCCCACAGGGAGGTATACAGTGTGGTGGTGGTACCTGCAGCGCGGGTGGTGGTGGTGGCGGCCGCCATCACCAGCAGAACACGGACAGCTCGCCGCCCACAGGGAGGTATACAGTGTGGTGGTGGTACCTGCAGCGCGGGTGGTGGTGGTGGCGGCCGCCATCACCAGCAGAACACGGACAGCTCGCCGCCCACAGGGAGGTATACAGTGTGGTGGTGGTACCTGCAGCGCGGGTGGTGGTGGTGGCGGCCGCCATCACCAGCAGAACACGGACAGCTCGCCGCCCACAGGGAGGTATACAGTGTGGTGGTGGTACCTGCAGCGCGGGTGGTGGTGGTGGCGGCCGCCATCACCAGCAGAACACGGACAGCTCGCCGCCCACAGGGAGGTATACAGTGTGGTGGTGGTACCTGCAGCGCGGGTGGTGGTGGTGGCGGCCCGCCATCACCAGCAGAACACGGACAGCTCGCCGCCCACAGGGAGGTATACAGTGTGGTGGTGGTACCTGCAGCGCGGGTGGTGGTGGTGGCGGCCGCCATCACCAGCAGAACACGGACAGCTCGCCGCCCACAGGGAGGTATACAGTGTGGTGGTGGTACCTGCAGCGCGGGTGGTGGTGGTGGCGGCCGCCATCACCAGCAGAACACGGACAGCTCGCCGCCCACAGGGAGGTATACAGTGTGGTGGTGGTACCTGCAGCGCGGGTGGTGGTGGTGGCGGCCGCCATCACCAGCAGAACACGGACAGCTCGCCGCCCACAGGGAGGTATACAGTGTGGTGGTGGTACCTGCAGCGCGGGTGGTGGTGGTGGCGGCCGCCATCACCAGCAGAACACGGACAGCTCGCCGCCCACAGGGAGGTATACAGTGTGGTGGTGGTACCTGCAGCGCGGGTGGTGGTGGTGGCGGCCGCCATCACCAGCAGAACACGGACAGCTCGCCGCCCACAGGGAGGTATACAGTGTGGTGGTGGTACCTGCAGCGCGGGTGGTGGTGGTGGCGGCCGCCATCACCAGCAGAACACGGACAGCTCGCCGCCCACAGGGAGGTATACAGTGTGGTGGTGGTACCTGCAGCGCGGGTGGTGGTGGTGGCGGCCGCCATCACCAGCAGAACACGGACAGCTCGCCGCCCACAGGGAGGTATACAGTGTGGTGGTGGTACCTGCAGCGCGGGTGGTGGTGGTGGCGGCCGCCATCACCAGCAGAACACGGACAGCTCGCCGCCCACAGGGAGGTATACAGTGTGGTGGTGGTACCTGCAGCGCGGGTGGTGGTGGTGGCGGCCGCCATCACCAGCAGAACACGGACAGCTCGCCGCCCACAGGGAGGTATACAGTGTGGTGGTGGTACCTGCAGCGCGGGTGGTGGTGGTGGCGGCCGCCATCACCAGCAGAACACGGACAGCTCGCCGCCCACCGGGAGGTATACAGTGTGGTGGGTGGTACCTGCAGCGCGGGTGGTGGTGGTGGCGGCCGCCATCACCAGCAGAACACGGACAGCTCGCCGCCCACAGGGAGGTATACAGTGTGGTGGTGGTACCTGCAGCGCGGGTGGTGGTGGTGGCGGCCGCCATCACCAGCAGAACACGGACAGCTCGCCGCCCACAGGGAGGTATACAGTGTGGTGGTGGTACCTGCAGCGCGGGTGGTGGTGGTGGCGGCCGCCATCACCAGCAGAACACGGACAGCTCGCCGCCCGCGCCGCCCACCGCGCGCCACGACCGCACGCCGCCGCCGCCCACGCGCAACTGAACACCACAACACGTACATTCATACATAAACTATTTTGTTACAGTATATACCTAGAAAATATTACGACATCCTCGTAGTACAACGGCGATCGGATCGGACCACCAAACATGACGCAAGAAGGTGCTACCAAGAAATATACGTGCGTCGAGTCAGCACTCCAATTCCCGCAGATAACTTTCCCATTTCCTTTATTTTAGATTTTATATTTGAGTCCATCGCCTCTTTATCTTTGCGACCTCTTTTTTTTAATATGTAACATTTATATTCCTGCATTTTTAATTTGTAATCTTTATTTCGATTTACAAAAAGTGTTAACTATCGTGTGAAACACCATTAATTAAAAATAGTGAAGTTAATAATCATGTTTCTTTATCTAAGGCATTCAGAGTAACCTGAAACGAAACGGCAGAGGCCAGAGCCTAAATATTCTTTGTGACATTGACAAGTAGATTGATGGATGGATGGAAATGACGTAGCGGGAGTTTGGAGCGAAAAGGTTGGAGTGTTTATATTATTATAAAAACAAATAATAGATAGGTAATTGTGAATATTGTAGGCATTGGAGGGTTTATTAGTTGGGACTAGGAGGACACCACAAGTAGTGAAGGTGAGTGTTAATGCATTCTAAAAGGGCCCTTTAAACCTACACCCGTGTCATAAGTCTCGGGCACTACTTGGGGTTCTCTCCCTGAACCTTCGGTGGCTGGCATCAGGGCCTAAGTTGTCATAACTAGTAGTTTTAAAAAATGTATCTCATGTATGCTATGTGTTTGTAATTGTTGAATAAAATAAAAATTTATCTATCTATATAACGACAATTACGGATCACACATCGATCCGAGAACACCTATTATTGTATTAATTAATTATAGAATTAAATTTAGTTTTACTTATAAAATTGGTTTTTGTTTGGATCTTCCGCCAGCGACTTCAATAACTATTTTTATATCACAACATTTATTGATTTATTTATACACTAGCTGTACCCATAACTTCGTCCGCGTGGAATTTAGCTTTATTTTTCTAAATTAAAAGTAGCCCAAGTTACTCCTCATTACATCAGCTACCTGCCAATAAAAGTCCCATCAAAATCGGTCCAACCATTTCAGAGATTAGCCGGAACAAACAGACAGACAAATAAAAATTGTAAAAAATGTTACTTTGTTCTATGTGCCGTATTTATATTCATATGCATGTAGTAAAAAACGGTTATTTCAATATTACAAACAGACACTCCAATTTTATTTATATGTAGATATAGATGGTCGCAGGATCGATTCCTCCAAAAAAATCCCGTCAAAATAGGTCCAGCTACTTCAAAGATTAGCCGGAACAAACAGATAGACAGACAAATATTGTAAAAAAAAAAAAATGTCCAGTCTCCCGGGCTGCGATGATGAAGATGCTGTACCGTATTTATATTCATATGCATGTAAAAAACGGTTATTTCAATATTACAAACAGACACTACAATTTTATTTATATGTACAGACAACTAAACAAACTAAATTGACTTAATAAGCAGCTTTAAGTAATAATATTATTATTCACTGCTTATATTCATTCGATTAGAATAAAGAAAACTTCTATTTCGAAATTTGTATTCACACGTTTCGACTTGTAAATGTAAACTTACAAGGATTAATTAAAAGAGCAACGCACAAGTTTCTTGCTCGTTCTTCTTGTGATGAGACAGCTTCCGTTCGAGTGGTAGATAAAAAACAAATTGTTATGACTATTCAAAAGTGCTTAAATTAAGTTTATTTGAATAAATGATTTTCTATTCTATTCTATTCTATAAATAATGTCAGGCGCGTATGCTCGTCGTACGCTGACCAGTACTTGAGCTGCCTCGTGACATGACTTAACAAGTTCCAACCGCATTACCGCACAGTAAAACGAAAGCATTCAATACTAGAGATGTGCTAACTCGTAATAAACATGACTCGAGTTAACTTGAAATTCAGGTAACTCGAGTTAACTCGAGTTACCTGGAATAAACTGTTTGTTTGTTATTTTTTCTTTAATTTTTCGAATTCTAACTTTTTTGGGCGCAGCTAGCTTTGAAAGCTTCACCGAACTATAGGGGGTGAGTAGAAATAGCACTTTAAAGCCGCGAAAGGACTTAAGGAACGCATAATCATTTTAATGGTAACATAACCAGACGAATATGCGAAAAAAAAATGATAACAACCTCAAATAGAATTGAAATATTTGTGACGAGTGAAAATTGTATGATATGAAATGATCAGAAAATTTCATGTCATTATCGGTTCGATGACAGAATCATACTCTCGCTCTTTATCTTGATTTTTTATTTATCAGTTGAATACTTCAAACTCGAGTTGGCAGAATTCGACTCGAGTTAACTCGAATTCAGCGCAACTGTATGATATAAAATGATCAGAAAATTTCATGTCATTATCAGTTCGATGACAGAATCATACTCTCGCTCTTTATCTTGATTTTTTTATTTACCAGTTGAATACTTCAAACTCGAGTTGGCAGAATTCGACTCGAGTTAACTCGAATTCAGCGCAACTGTATGATATGAAATGATCAGAAAATTTCATGTCATTATCGGTTCGATGACAGAATCATACTCTCGCTCTTTATCTTGATTTTTTTATTTACCAGTTGAATACTTCAAACTCGAGTTGGCAGAATTCGACTCGAGTTAACTCGAATTCAGCGCAACTGTATGATATGAAATGATCAGAAAATTTCATGTCATTATTGGTTCGATGACAGAATCATACTCTCGCTCTTTATCTTGATTTTTTTATTTACCAGTTGAATTCTTCCAACTCGAGTTGGCAGAATTCGACTCGAGTTAACTCGAATTCAGCGCAACTCGAGTTAACTCGAGTTGACACATCTCTATTCAATACCAGATTGGACGGCAAACGATTACACCATCACTACCACTCGTTCAAATTACGGCGCAAAAACTTAATGTGCCGAGCTTTCATTCCAATACGCGCCATATAGGGCAGCGGCGACTGGGCGGCGAGTCTGCGCGCGCAAGGAATGCCGCCCATTAAAGAACATCGTGTATCTTGAATGAGGCATTAGTCCATTGAGAGCTAAAGAAATGGAGGATGCTAAAGTCTTGGCTACAAATAGGAGATAAACGGAGTTTGATGCAGTAGTTATATTGTCTGTTTTATGTAATTACTAGCTGGCCCCATCCGCGTGGAATTTAACTATATTTTTCTAAAATAAAAGTAGCCTAAGTTACTCCTTATTACATCAGCTACCTGCCAAAAAAGTGCTGTCAAAATCGGTCCATCCATTTCAGAGATTACCCGGAACAAACAGACAGACAGACAAAAATTGTAACAAATGTGATTTTGGTGTATGTACCGTATTTATATTCATATGCATGTAGTAAAAAACGGTTATTTCAATATTATAAACAGACTCCAATTTTATTTATATGTATAGATATGTTTTTTTTTATAAAAAATATTCTATGTTCATCCTAATACCTCCAAGAACATATCTACAAAATTTCATGATGATCGGTTCAGTAGATTTTTCGTACAAGCGTAACAAACATTGCTACTTTTACATTTACAATATTAGTAATAAACATCCATACTTACAAACTTTCGCTTTTATAATATTACTAGCTTTTGCCCGCGTCTTCGCTCGCGTTAATTTATCCCCTTAGGGTTGGAATTTATCAAAATCCTTTCTTAGGGAATGCCAATGTCATAATAGCTTTATGCATGCAAAGTCTCAGCCCGATCGGTTTAAAATTGACAAAGTTTCATACAAACTTTCATCCCCTATTTTATCCCCTAGGGGGTAGAATTAATGAAAATCCTTTCTTAGCGGATGCCTACGTCATAACGTCTACCTGCATGCCAAATTTCAGCCCGATCCGTCCAGTGGTTTAGGCTGTGCGTTGATAGATCACTTTAAGTTATATATATTTAGATTATAATTATTATATTCATATATATTTAGATTAAGATATGTTTTTGAGTAGCCAGTTAAAACTGTAAGTAATATTGAGTGCATTATACCGTTTGTTGAGGCATGGCAGTGCATAACTAGTAACTAGCGGTGCACATGTGCGGAACACAACGTTCCCACGCCAGCCCTTTGTTTCATATTGCGATTGTAGTTATAGTTTTTTTTGTAACTGAATTATGAACAAACCTACGGTCCACATGATGTAATGTAGCAACTTACAAGATTACGATTAGGAATATTACTAAATCGCCATGTGACGTTAGTAATATTTTCACTAGCTGTACCCTCGACTTCTTCCGCGTGGAATTTAACTTTATTTTTCCAAAATAACAGTTGCCTAAATTACTCCTTATTACATCAGGTACTTGCCAATATAAGTCCCGTCAAAATCGGCCCATCCATTTCAGAGATTAGCCGGAACAAACAGACAGACTGACAAAAGTGTAAAATGTGTTATTTCGGTGTATGTACCGTATTTATATTCATATGCATGTATGTTATGGGTATATGTTAGGGGTAGTCCACCCCTAATTTTTCTTATTTTATTTTAAGGCAGAACAACGTTTGCCGTAATAGCTAGTTATTTATACTTAATCAATAGCCTCAAAAATAAGTTTCAAGCTTCTAGCTTCAAAATTGACGATTCTTCCATACAATCTTTCATCCCCAAATTCAACCCCTTACAACCCTATTTTCGCATTAAAAAGTAGCCTATTTCCTTTCTCAGGGTCTGGACTATCTGTGTACCAATTTTCATTTAAATCGGTTCAGTAGTTTTTGCGTGAAAGCGAGACAGACAAACAGACACAGACAGAGTTACTTTCGCATTTATAATATTATAGTGAGGATTTGAATTAACACTTCATACGTAATATTATTACAATAGATAAGCACTTTTTATTCTTTATTATACCCTTTCATGTTGTGATAAGGTGATATTACAATCGACGTCAGTGAAACGTGCACTATCATTTCCTTATCACCATTTATTAGTACTGGCGAAGTCACAATAGTTTCCTTTGTTGTAAACACCAAGTTGTAAAACGCGGGTACACCTATTATTTACTATTATGTACACGCGACTCCGTCCGCGTGGAATTTAACTTAATTTTTCTAAAATAATAATAGCCTAAATTACTCCTTATTACATCAGTTACCTAACAAAAAAAAGTCTCGTCAGAATCGGTCCAGGCTTTTCAGCGATAAGCCGGAAAAAACAAACAGTCAGACAGTATTTATATTCATATGCATGTAGTAAAAACGGTTATTTCAATATTACAAACGAACACTCCAATTTTATTTATATGTATAGACTAATTGTAAACGCAACTTCGTCCGCGTGGAATTTAACTATATTTTCTAAAATAAAAGTAGCCTAAGTTACTCCTTATTACATCAGATACCTATCAAAAGAAGATCTCGTTAAAATCGGCCCAGTCATTTCAGAGATTAGCCAGAACAAACAGACAGTCAGACAAAAATGGTAAAAAATGTTATTTTGGTGTGTGTACCGTATTTATATTGATATGCATGTAGTAAAAAACGGTTATATCAATATTACAAACAGACACTCCAATTTTATTTATATGTATAGATGTACAGATTACAGTCCCAACTATCAGTTAGGTACTGCAACATAATGACTTTATTAGACAGTGGACCGGCTGAGTCCTTACCCTTTTTATTCTAACCAATAATTTTTATATAGTGGCTACAATTACTGCATTTTATATTTTCTAGAACGTTCTGTTTCTATGTAATTGGATGTATTATTATTACAAACGCGAGTTTATGAGTAGGGTGGATGTGGATATATGCATGGATGTTTGTTACTCTTTCACACCAGAACTACGGAAAGAATTTTGATGAAATTTTATAGTAATAATAATAACAATAAGAGAATTTTTGAAAAAAAAAAAAGTGTGAATATATTACCCCCGTAAAAAGGGAGATATAACGTATGTATATATATATATAATAATAACCTCAGGACAATTCACACAGCCATCTAGATCTAAGTTAAGCTAGCTAGAGCTTGTGTTATGGGTACTAGATAACTAATACATATACATAGATATTTTTTTTGTAAATACATACATATTACACATAGAAAACACCGAGACCGATACAAACAATCATACTCATGAATTCAAATGTTTGTGCCGTTCGAGGAATCGAACCCGCGACCATCGGTCGTAAAGCGGTGTTGACCGCTAGACCACCAAGGTCGTCAAAGAAGAAAGAAGAAAAACGTAGAAGTCATAGAAGAAGAAAGAAGAAAAACATTAATTGATAACCATTATTGACATAAATATACACTAGCGCTATAAGACTTTTCAAAGAAACAACGAAAAGGTTAGTCGACATCACAGAAGACCGAAGAGCTGGCAGCTACCTTGGACAAAGAATTAGTCTAGCCATTCAAAGAGGGAACGCTGCCAGTATCTTCGGAACTTTGCCTAAAGGGATCCCTTTTAATAATATATTTTAGTTATTATATTATATTTTTCAAACTTTTTAATTTTAAGTTGTAGTTGTACAATTAAGTTATGTAAATGATACAATTATTTAATAACTAAGTAATGTTTAGTATTTAAACAAAATATATATATATACACTTACACATTTGACATAGGTAACGTCTTAACTATATAGTAATATAGTTCAGACGTCAGAATAATAAATTGGCTAAAAATTTCACGCGGATGAAGACGCGCGTACAGCTAGTATATCATAAATTCATGCATAAAATGTAGTTAAGTTATATAAATATAGATTAAAATTAACTCCGAAAAACATATAAGCTTGTTAACAATACACTAATGAAAACTGGCAACTGTATACTTATACGAAATTAGCTGAGCCCGGGACTTCGACGTGTAATGGACGAATAACGAATTTTCATACAAACTTTCATCCCCTATTTTATTTTACCCCCTTAAGAGGGTACATTTACAGTCTTTGAATGTCATATTTATTTAATCAATAGCTTAAAAAATAAGTTTAAAGTGACGATACATCCATACAACCTTTCATGTACCCTTCTAACCCCTTACTAACCTTTCTTCGCAATAAAAAGAAGTCTATGTCCTTTCTCAGGTTTCTTCAGGCTCTCACCAATGTTTCCCAACCTTTTTTAGGCAACGCCCCACCTTAGTCTTTTTAAAAATTTTATGCCACATACTATTTAAAGACAATGTGAGCAAAGTGGAATAAGTGACTTGAGTGTTGCTCTTTAAAATAAATGTTGTCGTAAGTAATATATATTAACAAGAAGGAGGCATGCGACAATCAACATAGAAATCGCTACACACTCATTCTTTGTGTAATCAGATAATTGTCAGCAACTTTAACTTAATTTTTTTGTACAAAATCATTTATAAACTCATGTTATTAGATCTTTTCATTTAGTTCGTCATTCCAATTCTGGTCATTATAAAAAAGGGAATTGATTGCAACTGCATTACGTAATAAAGCCCCTGATCGATAATGATTGGTTTGTTATCGCGTACGAATTGAAATCGAATTAGAGCAACCGGAGATTAACTTGATTAATCGCAAGATTGTGCCCACGCTGAGCGCTCTCTGAGGCTGGAAATTCGAACCTGTTCTGCCATTTATGTAATGTGTTTTTTGTGGACGAAATCCTGTTCTTGAAATGTTTGGCGATTTTAAAAAAGTTACACAAAAACAGTTGATCTATAAAACGTACAGTTTATTTATGTTGATATGGTAATAGTTGTTCATGCACGGGATTATCATTTAATGATAGGCATAAGTACACAATATTAATAAAATGGCTTAAAAAAAAGAAATTCAATTGAGTTTCTTGCCAGTTCTTCTCAATTGAATCTATATACTGAACTGGACGGTAGGGAAGAAATATTATAACAAAAATTTGACGTTCACAAGCGGGTAAAATGTCCTGATGAATAAATTATTTTTATTTGAATAAAAGGTGGAGTTAATACTAGTTCTGAAAGTTCACCTATTCCTCCTAATATTATCAAGTGAATGCTAAGCTATAGCAAACTAACTCTTTGATCAAATACATTCAGCTATTATACAGTAAGGTTAGATAGAGTTAAAAGTCTTTTTTGAAGTCTAAATTCAACATAATTATAGATATATATATTACACAAAGATCGTACTAGGATAAGATTTGGTCCATACCTGTTGCATCTTATCGAAATCAAGAGCTGGCCGATGCCGGCGTGGGGGCGGTAGGGGCATGCGGCGACGGCGCGGGGACGCGGGCGCGCGCTCTCCGCGCTCGCGCTCGGACCGCTCACTTCGCTCACTCCGCTCACTCCGCTCACTCCGCTCACTCCGCTCGTTCCGCTCATTCCGCTCACTCCGCTCGTTCCGCTCGCTGCGGCCGCTGGTACACGCGCACACTGCGCCACCTGCCCGCCGCGGCTTCAGCGCTTCCAGTGGTGGCGACGTTCGGAACCGCACCGGAGTCTCTACCTGTAATGTTCACGAAAAATTCATTAAATTTTTACATTTTGAAGAAATAATCGCGCTTTCTTTAGCCAATAATTAAGAGATAGAGAGGATAATACTGGTGGCTTATAATTGAAAGAAAAGCACAAATATTACAGATAGCGGTAAACATATTTTTCTCAATAAGTTTCCAAATTAATCAGTGTATTTTTACTATTTTAAGACACACCCATTTTCCTTTTGGACCAATCTTTTCTTTCCTTTGGAAATTTGTAGCTTAAATTGATCTGTGCGTACAGCCAGCAACGTCAACTTGTTATATTCTATGTAAAGATAAAGAGACATATAGTATATAGTAGAATATTTAGTATATTTTTTTTGCTAAAGGTATCAAAATCTATTTACGTTAACATACAACTCTCGTCCTGTACAATTGACCGTTAGTTACCCTTACAATGCTGCGTTTAATTGACTAGAAGAGATCTCTTTCACAGCCTCAAAGGTAAAGCCACTCTTGCGCATATTATCACTAAGTTACTGAGCAAAAAAGAGTAGGTAGGTAATGAAAGAATAGACAGTACCTAAGAAAAGTCAAATCCTAAAAGATTAGACGTAAGAATTCGAAAGAAGAGTGAAAACACAATATTAGCGCACACTGAACACGATGGGGTGTGAATGTGGATTAGATGGCATACCTTGGTGTCGTCGTCGTCGGAGGAGGGCGCGCGGGCTGCGAGGTCGTCCGCGTCCGCGTCGAGGTAGGGCTGCGCGGGCCACTTGCGCTTCTCGGGGGCTGCGGGCGGCGGAGATGACGCCCCTCGACGTCGAGACTCGCCGCCGCCTGCACCCGCGCCCGCGCCCGCTCCCGCCTCCGCTCCCGCGCCCGCGCCCGCTCCGCTCGGCGCTCCGTTGATCACCTAAACCAGCCGCACGCTCAGCTCCCGGCTACTCTTGCGCATTATGATATGGCTCTACTTTGTCTCTTGTGTGAGGCAAACACTAATGATTTACAATGTCTAGTACGAAATGTTGATGGGACTTGAAGAGATAGATGCAATGGAACAACCGCTCCTATTAAGTGTCTATGTTCGGATTCTAGATTGACATTATTATTATACAATTTTCATCCACATAAAGAACTTAAAGTACAAACTGTCTTTCATATGACAACTCTGCATTTCAAGTACTTTGAGACATTTACTATAAGTCCGGAGAGCAATAGGAGGGGAGTCCTGGGGAGTCCCATGCTACAAGGTTAGCCGGTCGTGGCGAGGGGCCGGTGTAATCCCTCGACATCTAAATATGTCGTTAACTGTCGTCGTCATGTAATAAATAGTAGGGGTTTTGCGAAATTATCCAAATAGTTTGGTGTGTTTAAATTGATCCTGCAGCCTATTTTCTGTGGTCTGAAGCCTCATGTTTCGTTATATATAGTAAGATTTTACGTTGTAGAGTGCAGTTCCATATTCAACCAAAAAGTTCACGCGTCTTAAGTCATAAACCTTACCAGAAAATATTCTTGTAATATAAATACAACGGTGTAAAAATACTTAAGTAGGAAACATTATTTACAGCAAAAAAATCTATTAAAACTGCATAAGGATTGTGACTATGGATTAGTGGTCGTCTTGCGGGAAATTATCATAACTACATCCCCGTCAAAGGACAGAACTACGAACGCAAGGCACGAGGCGCCTCGAACTGCTGAAGGGAGAGAAATTTTCCAGCTCACCGCACCACAAAGAGATCATCCGAGTACACTAAATTTATTGTAGGCGTATCTTGCAACGCAATCGGGGAATTATAAAAATATTAGGTGTATCCTTTTTGGGATATTAAATAAGTCCAACAATGGAGATGGTAGTAGAGATACTAGAGCTGGGTAGTACGCATTGGTTAGGGTATATTTGAATCCAAAATTGCAATAGATAACTTATGTCAGTTCAATTTTATTTGGTACTAGCTGTACTCGCGAATTCGTCCGCGTGGAATTTTCTAAAATAAAAGTAACCTAAGTTATTTCTCATTATATCAGCTACCTGCCAATAAAAGTCCGGTCAAAATATGTCCAGGCATTTCAGAGATTAGCCGGAACAAACGGACAGATAGGCAATAATTGTAAAAAATGTTATTTTGGTGTATGTACGCTATTTATAATCATATGCATGTAGTAAAAATGGGTTATGTCAATATTACAAACAGACACTCCAATTTTATTTATATGTATAGATATTTTAGTATTTATGTTTATAGTTTTTCGGTATTTGGGTCTTTATATCACTAGAGAGTTCGTCGCAATTTTAACTGACGCTAAAAGTTTATGAACAGATTTGTTGTCACCACCACAATATATGGAAAGAAAATCTTGAATCTCAGATGTAAGATTTTGGTGGCTCAGTAATTATGAATCATAACATTAATTTAGGTACATCTACATAGTTATATATACTTAAACATTTAATAAATAGACTGAAACAATGCAGCGCAAAGCTTGTGACGCTCGACGTCTACCCAGAGTCTACAACTGCAACCATAATAGTCGTTTTCTCAGCACAAAAGTATTACGTTTTCTTTTTGCAATTAAAAAAGAGCTGAGACAAAAGAATTTCTAATTTGAAGCCAAGCTCAAGATAAATGTTATGTAGGCGGCGGAGAGAAAAATGAATAAAACGCGAATGTTTTGTTTTGTCTCTAAAAAGTAGAAAATAGGTATGGCGTGGAGTGAAGACGCATGTCTCGCGTGGAGCCGACGAGCCACGACGCGTGGAACATTTGAAAGAATATCCACGCTTCTATTTCTATAAAACTGTATATTGCTACTGTTCATTGAGTCACAAGATAAGATATCAGTCATCAATATGACAGGTGATGTAGCGTACATTACGTTATTATCTGTTGCTTGTGTACTTGTATTTTTGTAGTGTATATAACCACAGATAATATAATATATATAACTAACTACAGATATAGGCCATAATCAATGATAATATGCTGAAAAAACAAAAGTTAAAAACAAAGTGTCTCAACAATTTGAACTTGTGGTAAGTTTGGCGTATTGATAACAGAAGGAGTGATATTAATAAAAGATTTAATAAATAAGGGTGTATATAATAATAGAATTAAAATAAGAAATAATCATTAATGTAACAAGATTTTAAGTCGGAAATTTGCAAGCGAATCTATTTGACATTTAGACAATTTACTTTTTTAGTAAATGTATCTGTGTTATATGGCTAGTTAATGTAAGAAGGTTGATAGCCTACAAACTACTACAGGAAGTCTTAGGATGGATGTTGGATGGACAAGTGACCATTCCAGAATTTGGATATAGACTGCAGATATTACTACAGATTATGGCTTATGTATGAAAGTGGCGCCGGTGTCGGAGAGGTTGAAGAGTAATCGTCTATCGTGGTATGGACATGTAATGCGTAGAAATGAGGATAATATTTTAAGAAAGGTGTTATATATGAATGTGGATGGTTATAAGGTCAGAGGAAGGCCGAAAAAGAGATGGATGGACTGTGTGAAAGATGATATGGTAAGAAAGGAAGTAAATAACGCGATGACTGCGAACAGGGATGAATGGAAGAGAAAAACATATTATGCCGACCACAAATAAATGGGATAAGGAAGAAGCAGATGGTGATGATGATGATTAACGTTTTGTTAGGATAGAAATTGTATTTATTAGTATATCTGTACCTTATATCGATACAGATATAGGAGCATCTAGACCTGCATCGGTTATCTTACCACATTTTACATTAATGCTACATAATAGACGTGCGCTGATAAAGGCTGCCAAGTTCTCGGTTGGAAGTTTCCGTTTCTGTATTTCTGTTTGGACGTATTTACTGCAAATATTTTAGTTTCCTAAACTCTGGTAATGACCTATATTAATAGTAGCACTAGTATTAAAAATGTCACGGATGCCTTGATACATATTTTGAAATTTGGACTGTATTCTATAGTTTGTAGTAATAAACGTGATATTTTAAGGATGGTAGTAATTCAAGCGAACCAGTACAAGTGAAGCTGCGACAAGTTAAAATATCTTACTAATATTATAAAAGGGGAAGTTTGTGAGTGTAGGGATGGCTATATATTTTTACTCATTCACGCAAAAACAACGGATTTAACTTGAACTTTACAGTAATATAGCTTATCTATACATCTATACATATAAATAAAATTGCAGTGTCTGTTTGTAATATTGAAATAACCGTTTTTTTACTATATGCATTTCAGAGATTAGTCGGAACAGACAGACAATTGTAAAAAATGTTATTTTGGTGTATATACCGTACATACACCAAAATAAATTTTTTTACAATTTTTGTCTGTCTGTCTGTCTGTTCCGGCTAATCTCTGAAATGGCTGGACCGATTTTGACGGGACTTTTATTGGCAGATAGCTGATGTAATAAGGAGTAACTTAGGCTACTTTTATTTTAGAAAAAATATCTAAATAGCTTTTTTGTTAAATTCCACGCGGACGAAGCTTGTACATTATAATAACGCATAGGCTACAAATTTCACGCGAGTAAAACCGCAGGCACAGCTAGTAGTAAATAAAATAAGGATGGAACAGATTGTAGCGCCGATCAGACGACTACTCAATGATAATGCGCCCACCGTTGGCCAATCTGGTATTTTGTATCCGCTCACTAATTCGAGCTTACCCACCGGGTCGTAGGGCGTTCAACTCCTCTCGTTACTTTTTAATCTGTTCGGTAACGTGCACGTGTATCTAAACTGTGCAAATTTTATTTAAAGACACAACACTCTTCGCAATAAAATGTTGGCTCTTGTAGGAATTTCTAAAACTTCTTTCTTAATCCTAAGATTAGGGTTACATTGTCTACAGAAATTCTGGAAAACAATTCAATTCATCAGAGCTGGCTTGTGTTGCCATTGCTTTAGAGTAAGTCCTTTAAGTCAATCGGTCAGTTCTTCCTGACCACAAATCCAATATACAAATATGTGTTATCACTACTTAAATAAGTATATATATATATATATATATATATATATATATATATATATTTGAATTCAATTTATGAATTTTATTATAATTGTACCTACTTCCTTTTATTATTTATTTCATGTTGTTATTCACTTAAATGCACCGCTCACTAATCTCTGTTTGCCCTATCGTCGACTTGGAGAAAATAAACCTTATGGTGTTAAGACCGAATATGCACCTTTATTTTTTTTATTTGTGCATTAAGTTTTTATAAATAAATAAAATAGTATAAAACAAAGTCGCTGTCGCTGTCTGTCCCTACATATGCTTAAATGTTTAAAACTAGGCAACGGATTTTGTTTTTTTTTTAATAGATAGAGTTATTTAAGATGAAGCTTTATATATATAGTACATGTAAATCTGTGCAAAGCCGGGTGAGTAGCTAGTTAATTACAAAGTAAATCTTATTTCAATTCAAAACAGGCTCATTTTAATAGTCTTAAAAGTCGGTTTAAAAATTATACTCGCAAAACCTTATCGATTTAACTTTAGAGGCAATTTTGAAGCGAAGTCTTGAAAATACTCTAAACCTACACAGCAATGTTAAAAATAACATTGTAGATGACAGTGATGCTCTTAGTGGGAGATCAAACAGTTATATTTATTACTAGCTGTTCCCGCGACTTCGTCCGCGTGGAATTTTACTTTTATAAAATAAAAGTAGCCTAAGTTACTCTTTATTACAAGAGCCACCTGCCAAAAAAATGTCCCGTCAAAATCGGTCCAGCCATTTCAGAGATTAGCCGGAACAAACAGACCGACAGACAGACAGACAAAAATTTTAAAAAGTGGTTTTTTGGTGTATATTCCGTATTTATATTCATATACATGTAATAAAAAATGTTTTTTTTAATATTACAAACAGACACTCCAATTTTGTTTATATGTA